TTTTTTTTTTTTTTTTTTTTAACGTTTTTCTGAATTATTGCGTACATTGATTCGTTGATCGAATTTTAATAGAATTAAGTCGTTCGTATTATTATTTACTATGGTTATTTTTATTATTATTTTTTTTTTTTAGTGCCTTATCGTGAATAATCAAAAACGAGAATTCCGCTCGCTTATACTTATATACTTATACGATTTTGAAAAATAATTACACTTGTTTACCCGATTTGTTTTATTATTCATTTCGCCGGGAACGGCTATGGTTTTCAAATTAATATATTTTCTAAAGTACTCGCGTACAATAATATCAGTATTCTATACGGTACTGTATTCTACTTAAAACCGATCGGTTATTGTCTTAAAAAAAAAGTATTGTATAGGTATTCTTCGGAAAACTGAAATGAAATAAAAAAAACATAAAAAGAACTATTATTATTTAAAACGATTTCGCACTTTTGTAATCATTATTTTTTCTTGTTTCGAAAAAAAAATTATATTATAGTTTCGCAATTTTAATAGGATTTTAAATAGAATTAACCGAATACTCGTAAATACACTACAGTTTCCGTCACGTAAATAATTTAAATTTACTATATCGTTCTAATATTTAAGTTCTTTTCGTGTCCCCCCCCCCCATACCAGGTTATTCAATAACAACACAAAAACGTAGTACAAACCCTCGGCAATCGCAATTGCAAATATTCCGAGTGAAAAATACAACAGAAAAAAGTTATATACTTTTCATTTAACTAGTTTGAGCGCATTTATATTTAGATGATATTATATGCAGGGACGCATTTACGCAAAGGTACGTGCCTGCAGCGGCAAATTATATTATTGTAATCGAATGCCCTCCCGAGTAGAACTTTTCCCCGTATTTATTTTTATTTTTTCGTTTATTTTATGTAAGAGGGGTGGAATTTTCTATCCCGACTGAAAGTGGTAGAACTTTTTCCTTTAAATAACCATTTTTTTTTTTTTTTTTTTGACTTATTCTATAATTTTAATATAAGATGAGAAACAGCATTTTCTAAGTGCCTCGAGCGCCAACATTCCAAATATGCCTCTGAATATATACGCAAACATACATAAAATTACGCAGGTGTCATGGCCGCCATTGTCGATAATTTTACCGGTTACCGCGTAGCATATAAAGTCGACGATAAAAACCCTACCGGCCAAGTTTAATTCCCGTGAAATTTCAATATTTTCAATATTTTTCGAGTTATTACACTACCGGTCTATTTAGTTTTTATTTTCTATCCGTTATGTGTGCCGGAAACCGTTCAGGGGAGACGGAGCCGGTAGAAAAAAGAACTTTTTTGTTGAATATTGGATTTAGTTGAAAGATAAAAAATTTAAAAATCGGTACACTGTAAATATTTGTAGGTTTTGTTTTTTTATTTTTCCGAGACGTTTTTAAAATAATCCAAAAGAATGGATAAACTAACAAATATTTACAATGTAACGATTTTTAAATTTTTTCTATTTTATAATCCTGAAATCTCGCTTCAAATTCTAAGAGTAATATTTTTTCGAATAGTAGTTATTTTTTTTTTCGTATAGTTTTCTTAAAAATTGGGAAACTCCGAGGAAAAAACATAGGATCTGATTATATAAGCTTTTTCTATAAGTAATAAGATATTCAAAACATTCGTTTATTTTTTAGGTACTCTTATAAGCATTTGACATTTTCGAGTTTCTTTTTCAGTTTTATTTGAATTTATGTGGGTGAAATAGCATTAGTGTCGATCAGAAGTAGATTATACTTAGCAGTCATGAAAAAAGAAGTTGAGCTTAATAAAGTTTTTTTTTTACGCATTAAAAATTCAAATTTTCACAAAAAAATAGCGTGGTATTTTGTGTATTATTTTTAGATTTATGTGAATATTTATGTTTGGAAATTTATAACGGGTTCATCATAAAATGTATTTGATTATATAAAAAAATATATATATATTTATCAAGCGTATAGAGTCAGTTTTTTTTATTTTTTTAGAAGCGTTTTGAGTTCAATTTTTAAAATCGTGTTAGAACCACGGCAATTTAAAACGTGTTCGACTAAACTTCGCTCAGAATCTTATTTTATTAGCATTGTTTCATCGTTGCATACAAATTATATCTATAAAAATTAAACAACTCTACGTACCCTATCTTCCCAATTTTCCATCAACAACAGTGGCACGCCATTAGCGATGTCCGACATTTTTGTTTTTAGTTCCATACAAAACAAAATATCGCTTTAGGTTTGGTTATGTACAAGAAAAACCGAAAATCCGGGGAAAAAAAATATCTAGACGATTCATATTATTCAAACACTATTACAATATTATTTAATTAGAATAATTTTTTTCATAATCAACGCAGTCTTTGGATGAGGAGGTGTAATATTATTGCGTTCTCAAAAAGTTAATTATAAAAATAATTGTTTTTTTTTTAACAACATTTAATTTTCCAAAACGTTTAGAAATGGAAATATTTTGCTTGTCTCGATCAAGGCAAAGTTTGTTTGTATACGTAATTAAAAAAAACTGATTAGTTGGTAATTATTTAGCCTGGTAGCGACATGATTTATAATAATATTTTATAATGATTTATATTTCTAAAGATAAGTAGGTAATAACATTATAATCTATGTGTCTGAAAAACACGTTGTTTAATTAAAATTACGTTTCCGAAGTGGGAAAGCGTGTAATTTATAATCTGCAATAAATGTGCATTTTCATTAGCGGTAAGAAAAATTTGGAATTATCAATGTTCGATAATCCAGATTTTTGGAATTCGAAATACATATATTTATTCGAAATCGGGATTTTGGATTTTGAAAAATTTATTTTATATTCGTCTAGATATTTTTGATAAAATTAAAAACTCATCATAATTTAATATATTGGAATAAAATAAAATAATAATGATGTTTGTATTTTGAAGTCTGAAATCCGAATCTTTCAGATTTCCGGGTTAATTTAGCGAAAAGTTTGGTGAATTAGAAACAAATTTAGCGACAGTACATTTTGGAGCATTCTGTGGTATTCAGTTGATAATAAAACAACAAATAATTCAAAAAATAAACTCATTGTTTTGATAAAGGCTGAATCCTTTTAAGCTGTGGTGGGTATAAGTCAACGTAAATGAAGTAAGCAAAGGAGTAGTGGAGCTGCAAAGTAACCAAATAATAAAAACAAATTATTATATTGGTATAATTGTACAGATTATGTATAAATAGCGGGACCATTTCAACTAGTTCTGATATTTTTGTTGTAGGTACTCAAAATGAAACTTCGTCTTTAACAGCATTATGGTGTAACAAGATGATTCTTTTTTAGGGACCAATAAATAGAATATTTAAGTATATATATCTACTTCTTCAATTTATGTTCAATTGGTATTTAAACATTTTATTTATTTTACTTTATGATTAAATTACTAGGTATACCAAGTAAATATAACTTTTTTTATTTTTTATTTCATATTTTATATGCCAGGGGAGGCCAAACGATCGATCGCGATCGACCAGTAGATCGCAGACGATTTAAATATCGACCCCATTTTGTCAAAAATTATTTCTATGCAATTAGTAGATAAATAACAATATTGTCATACATTTTTATCTTTTTTTTTTTTTTTATATATAAATAAATTAAGTAATTCAATTCAACAGATTTTACCCTGGAAATTGTATTTGCAATAATATTGACTATTATAGTTTTAGAATAGTGTGATGAAAACAAACTTTTTGTACAACTATATACACTTTAGTTTTATTATTTTGTATATTTTTTACGTGTATGTTTATTAATAATTCCTATTAGGTAACTTATAATGATACATTTTTGTTAGAAAGTCGATCCTCGAAGGGAAAATGTATTCTTTGTAGATCTTTATCGAAAAAAGTTTGACCATCTCTGTTAGATACGAAGTATTCTCAGGAAAACTTAAATATTGCATACTTGTATAAAATTATGATTTCTTGTAAGAAAACAATGATGGCTACATAATGCTATTTTAAATTCCTTGAATTGGTAATATCAGTTGCTTTTTATATTTTAATAGCTGTTATCGATACCTATATACAAAAATTATTTGTATCATGAAATTGTAATTTGATTACAACTTAGTTATAATTGCATAATAATTAGTAATTTTATTGCGTTACTTTTATTTTCTATTTGGTAAAATCTATCATTATTATGTATTAAAGTGTTATCATCAAAAGAATAATATATTGATAAAATAAAAATAAAATTGTTGTCCGACAGTTTGATATTAATTTAGTGGTCTCTGACGGTCTCCTTTTATCTTACTTCAATGTGTTACATAGGATAATATACGATATAGTCACTCTATATATTCTTATTCTATAGATTTAATTATAGAGTCTGACTTGACAAATAAATTAAATTACAATAAAATCGTTGATATATTTTAGTCAAAATAGTATATTATATATATATAATATACTATTTGTATATTTATATATATATAAGCAAACACGAATGGACAAGTCACACCATTCGTATACTCGCTAAAAAAATTGGCATCGGAAAACGCAAGTATAGCCGAATGTATTTTATTATAAAAACACTAAAACTTTCCTACAACGAACCCATATTATTATATAACACCCGTTTCTTTTGATGGTCCCGTGATTCTGCATTACAGGCAGATTTAACTGTATTGGTCACAGTGTATGGTTCTGTGCAATAACCGTAATAAAAATGTGAACAATTTTAATCAAATCATTTATTTCCCCAGGGTTTTTTCGTTTATTCCACGTCTGGGTGACTCAATACGCAGACAAGTTTCGCCGACATACCTGTTTCTTTATTAATGATGTATATACCAAATATCTAATATGTTCTCGGAGAATGAATACAGCGAAGAATGCATTTGTTTTAACATGACATGTGATTTTATTTGTAAATCAGCTGCCGCAGAAATTTAGGATTAAGTACGAGAATTTGTTTTTCTTATATGTGGCGCTAAATACCTAATTACATGTCTGTAATTACGTATGCGAGTTTACGAATAATCGCAATGTTTTCTTGTCCATTATAAAAGAAAAGAAATATTAATCGTCATCGCAATCGCCAGCTGTTTGTCTCCGGCCCACCTTTCGTCCACGAACACGTAACAACAACAAACCATAAAACGAGTAATATTGCGTGTGTGACATAGACAAATAATTGCGCGGGAGGTGATCGATAACTGCACAAGGACCTTTGGGGTCGCTACTTACGGGTTTTTAATAAAAGAAACCCTATGATATAAGTATTGGCCACCTTCCGATGAAGAGCTGTAGATATCTGTAATAAGGGTAACCCGGGAAGTGTATAAAAATTTACCAAGGTATTCCTAACTTAGAGGGGCAAATTTTCGAAAAAAAAACAAAAAGCTGCGTCTAATTTCATAGTCCAATAATGTTCAAATTCTGAGAAGTAACGTTTCCTTTTTTTTTGTTCTTATTTACGAATTATGAGAAACGTATACTCTTTTTTCTGTCAAATCCAGAAACATTTTTCGGGACGGTAAAATGCCTAGAAAGTTTCGATCAGCATGTCTTTACAGGTAGATGATGAAACTCTTCTATTCAATTCATTCGGTTGAATGCTCTTCCGCGAAACCATGAGAAAATAAAAAAAAAATGGCAAGCGTAGTCGGTCAAATCACTTTTATTCAGGCGAAATCATTTAATTTCAGCTTTCAAACAAAATTACTCCTGCTTCTCATCATCACCCCTTCACTACTCCGCGTAGACGTTTTCGACTGTTTATTTTTCTCGCAATAACTGTATTATACTTAAGAAACATTTAATATTATGTGAATATGTATACGTCAAGTCTTTCAATAAATAATTATTACTGGTTTTTTCTTTAATACGTATCATTCGTCCACAAATGCACACACCAAATATTTTTCCAGTTCAGTCACGTTCTCTCAAAATATTCTCTAGGGGCGTCTATAATATTTCTTACTATATTCTGTAAAACTCATAAAGGAATTGTTTTACAATTCGATGTTGTAAGAAAAATGGACTTCTGCCTACGTAGATACTCAATTTTATATTTAAAAATAATTGTCTTACTCACTTGAATGTTAATTAAAATTAACATTATTTTTTTTTTCAATACTTAATATATTTTATAAATATAGAACAAAAATAAAAACTTCTTTGGCCATTTAGTTTCTCCGATAAACGATGGCTGAAATGGTCTATATCAGTATCACCGTTCCATGTATAAAAAAAAAAGTTGATTTAGAGACGGGTGTGCTGCTGTACGACAGTGGAAAGTTGAGGATATAGGATATATAAAGTTGTTTAATTTATACTAAGCAACGATAAACCATTGCTTGACGAATAGCGATTCCGAGCGTAGTTCGATAATACATAATTTTAAGTGCCATATTTTCTTTTTTTTTTTTTTGCTATTTTCGTTTAAATCTGATTTTAAAACGCTTTTTTAAAAAAAAAAAAATTCGTCCGATGATTTTGGAAATTTTAGTACTCCTAGGTAAGTCCAATACAGGTATTATTACCAAGTTCTCATTTAAGTCTCTACGTGTATTTATAAACGAATTAGAGAAAAAAAAATTCTTAAAGACTCAAAGGTGGCTCAAAAGTTTTGGCGATGATACCGTAAGAAAGTAAATCAAAAGGTGTCAAGTTTTTGTAGTGATTTTTCGATTGAATCATTTTTTCTGGTAGAAAACGTCATCCGTGTTTTTATAAAATAATTAAATCGTCAAATTCTACATTTTTCTATGTTTTTTATCCACTTAAGTGCTTTTATCTAAAAAATGGCGTTGAAAATCAAAAAATGACGTCTTTAAAGTACAATGTAAACAATTTGAGCTCTCAGAAAAAAAGGTACGTGTAAATATCGGATCAAGTTTACTAGAAAAAAACGTGTCCACAGATTAGAACAAAGAACAAAGAAGAAGAAGAAGAATAATAATAAGAAGAAATAAATAGCATTGTAAAACCAATAGCACCCTCGCTACGCTTGGAATCTAAAAACAATATTGAAATTATAAAAAAATTAAAAAGAATATTTATCGACAAATATTTATCGACAAATATTTAAACAATAAACATTCATGTCTAATAATTATATGGCCCTCGTTTCCGAAACACGCTATGTTTTCGAGTGCGCCACGTGTTTAAGTATTATACTACAGTATGACATTATGTAAATTATTATAATAATAATATGTATATTATATATATTATTTCGTTTCACAACACTCGTGTTTTCGAGTCGTCGATACCGAAATCGCATTTTACGTACCTGTACAGTAACAATAATACCGACCGAGTTGCCATATTATAATATTATTTGTATTATCGTACAAGAGAGCACACGGGATACTATACGACACGCTTTTGGGAGAGGAGGCTCATAAAAAAAAAAAATGCAAATTTTCTTTGTGACGCGACGAGAAAAAAACGTCGACTGACGTGACCTTTAAAAAATAAAATTAAACAGCGATTATATTTTAGACTTGCGCGCGTTTTTTTTTTTTTTTTTTTATAAACGAAAAAAAATACAAAAACCGACATTTAATATTACTCGCGAACGGGCATTTATTATAGAGTTAGAAATTTAGAATTATTATATATTAAACATTAGCTTTTGCCAGTAATTTAAAATATAATCGTTCGGTTCTGAATAAATATCTAGACAACCAGAAATTACCTGAAATTCAGTACCAAGGTTATTCTAATATCTTACCAAGTTAAAAAAAAAAAAAAGTATCTAACTAATAATTTGTCGGTTTTTGACAAACTGGTAGGTGTTTATACAAAAGTTATAATAATATATTGATGAGTTCACTTATTTAGTGTACTATCTAAAAATTTATTTTGAAAAAAAAATAATTCTTAGAAGAAATTATTGAATTTGATTTAATTTCTCAATTAAATTTTTAAAGTTTTATTTTTTAATAAAAAGTAATTTTTAAAGTAACGAAAATTTATTTAAAATTAAAAATCTAACTTAAATATAACTGTTTTCTAATCATATTTTCACCAAATAACTTACAGTTTAAACAAGTTGAAAATTTTTTTTTTTTTATTTAGTACACCAATTTTCATTTCAAGATTATTGTCTTTTTTTTATCAAATAGATAATAACTAACATTAATATCAGTTTTCCACTGAGACACGCTTTTCCTGCATACGGAATTTACATATTATTTATGTTTATTCCCGAATATTAATAGTTTCCACCGTAGCCGATTTACGTTGAGTATAATACGTCATAATGACGAGTCGTGAAAAACTCGAAGATAAAAAAAAAAAAACACTAGTAAAAGAGCACTTAAACAGACGATTTTTTTTCTTGGTTTTTTTTTTTTTTTTTTGTGTTTCTCGCTCTCGTTATATTTGAAAAACGGCATCATGACACGTTTACAAATTCGTACCGTCTATTGTAATATAAGAGCACGGTATAAATTATTATACAGCACACGAGACAAATGTCCGTTCATTTATCTCGTAATTAAGAATAAGAAAAAATATTTAAAAAGAGAGATATTCAAACCGGGTTTGACAAAATATACGCGATAAAATAATTATTAGGAAGTCAACCGCGAAACTATGAAACGCGACAAAGATTAAACGGCATCCATCGAGCAAAAGTACGTCATAATTTGTATTATATTATCACAACAATTTGTTTAATAGGAACGAAAACGATTTGCTAACGAATAATTTATTGTGAATTTACGATTGAAATCGCTTTTTAGTGGCATAGATCGTGCGTCATAATTTACGAGTTACGTATGCAAAAATTTGAACAATTTACTCTACGACGGGGGACATATTAGTTATTTTCATTACATAGTTCAGTGATTCAAGACGTCAGAAATTTTTTTCATAACAAAACAATAATAGTCCTGATAAAAAAAATGGAACTGATACTGCTGAAGGGTGTGCTACTACAGTAGGTGGAATTGGAAAATTTAAGTTATCTTTTGTTAGGAAAACGATTCTGCAGAGGGAAGATCAACCAAACATTTTTGGAAATGTCATAATTTTTACAATTTAAGTCAAAATCAGAACTTTAAAAACATTTATAGATAAAATGTATTGAATTGAGTTTAAAATCGAAAATTCAAATGACTTAAAATATATTAAAAGCGCCAGAATGTATTAAAAATGTCACTACGTCAATAAAAGTCTAATAAAAATATTTTTTGTAAATTTAGGGTCCTTACAATTGTTTCAAACTAAATATCAACTGCTGCGTTAAATGTTATACGGTACGTATACTACTAATCTATAGATAAATACACCTATGCAAAATATACGGTTTTCATAGGCTGGTTTGATAACGTTCCCTATTTAATTAGGCCATTGTAATAATTAAGCTGCATAGCTTCAACTCCAGGTATCAAGTTCGAACCTGACATTCATGGAACAAATATATTGTTATCTACCCCGCACGTGGTTTTACATAACAAATTGGGGTGTGTTTTCGATTGAAAGTCCGTCATGAGCTCGCAAATCGAGCTCACGAAGGTCATCGAAGGCTTGGTTTCGCGTAGCAAGGTTTAGGTTTAAATTACATATTGAGGTACATTTAGGTCACTATATCCTCCTAGCAGTAGTATCAGGTTGTAAATGCTAGTGTAGGTAAGTCAGCACCTTCTTCACTCCCTCCTTTCCCTCCCCGTAACATCGTAGCAATGTGTGATAGTTATACCGTTCGGAAACGATATTTTATCGCCCGGTGTCCACCATCGTACAACGGATCATTGCGCAAGCAATGGCAGTGTATAAACGAAAGTAAATTATCTTTCAAATAAAAATACGGTTCACAGTACCATTTACCACAGCAATGTGGACGTATCTTTACGCGTTATTTCCGCTATCTTCACGTGAATAAACGAGAATAATCGGTTAGACGCAAGTGACAATACACATAACTTCAAACCTCGTTCGGGAAATTCTCAAAAATCACGCACAAGCTAAATAATACTAGCTAACATAATCGTTGAAAAAATCGACCGTTGTTTGTAAGCAAAATAAAAAGGAGCCGATTCACGATCTAGATGATATTAAAAGTTCTTCGAGTGATCCGTAATGCAAAGAGGTTGGTACTGATATAGTAGGTATATAGTTACCTATATAAATTCGTAATTTACACTTTCGGAGAGAGAGTACTCGTGTTTCAATAGGAATTTTGGCGCATGCATTAATATTGTGATCCGGACACGTATTATTATTATCGGCTCTACCCCTCGATATATTTACGATTCCGGTGGGAAATACCGGAAGTTTGCCTAACAAAAGAGTGTGTATTTTTGTAGATTATTGATAGTGATCCGACAAAAATAGTATTTTTCGGAAAAAATGTTATTCAAATAAGATGCCATAAATGTTGTAAATATATCACGACGTATTTAAAAATGTATTTAATATCTTTGGAAATAATGCTAATGTTGTCTGGTATATATAATATAATATAATATAATATTTTAGATATTTGCACTTCGTCGGTTTAGATTATATTAGACCCGAATGAAAAATGTGATTTTTATACGTTTTTCCTTTCGCCCATTGACTATTTAATATGTCCTCCTTCCCCCTCATTATTTAGTACTTATTCTATACGAAACGTGTACTATATTGATATCAATTTAATAGTTGCTGATATTCGACGGTTGGATGTTGTGACCCGTTCATTAATTTCAGTCAAAAAGTTATACCACTTGCAAATGCATTATTTAGAAAATATCATTCAGTAGTTCAAACTTGCATGGACAGGCTCGATTATAAATCGGGCCGGTGCCCGCCGAAAAGTTTTCGATAACTCGATTATATTGTTACTATTGAGTTAGTATAGGTAAATACTTATTTTATCATAGTAATATAACTTTCGAACAGTTCTAAATTAAATAAACCTGATATAAAATACAACCGTAACCAGCATAGCTCCGTCACTAAAACCGTGCGTGTACACAAGAAATGTTAACCACTGGCTTCATTAAGGGGTTCCTGTAGTGGTTTTCAAGACTAGAAAAAAAAAAAACGTCCACTTTCCTCGACAACGTGACAAAATTCATATTATTATTTTAATTCAACCAGTTTATGAAACTATTGTATTTCAAGTTTATGAGCGTGTTTGGTATACCTTCGATGAAAATTCGAAAAAAAGGAAAAAGAACCTAACGCGTCATTGAGAGGTATCTTTTATTAAAACCGTTGGCAAATATAATTTTGTTAAATAAATTTCGAAAAAAAAAACACATTTGTGTACTTAAAATATCTTTATTATTTGTCTATATTGAAAAAAATGAACAGTATAAAATAACCAAAAACAAATAACTATATTATACCCGGATATTAAAAATTTAACAAGGTTTTTTTTTATAATAATTATTATACCTTCGAAAGTTTCGCCGGTTTTGCATAATAGTGTTCGAATTGAGGAGGACAAAGGAGGACTGCGTACCTCAACTAATTTTTCGGAAATGTATGAGGCGGTAAATATTTTTATATTTTTACTAATATTTGTTTTTTAAACGGTTATAAAAAATAAAAATAATATATTACTCTAAACTTTTTTTGTTTTATCACTAATTTAAACTCACGATGGACCTCAAATTAAAGTTCCGTGCTCTTTTGCTAGACCAAAACAATTTTAATCACATAAAAAACCAAATAAAATTCTAAAAAAAATTGGAAGATTTTAAATGGCTATAAATAAACAAAAATGACCAAAAACAAAATATAACTGTAACTGTCATTGTATAAATATTACGATTTTACCGACATTTTTTCTGGGATTTTCCCCAATATTAAAAAATTGTTTTTGTTCAAAAATAACTTTCTCATTACACTACGTAATATTTTTTCACCATCACTTTTAAAATTAATGATTAAAGCAAGATTTTTGGTAGGAAAGTGACCCACACACAAAAAAAAAAAAAAAACATATATCTTAATAAAATCATACTAATAATCACCATTATAAAATTTAATATTAATAAACATTATGTAAGCAAATAATTAGTCTGCAATAATATTATTAGTGTTTTTTTTCAAAATCATTAATCATTGAATTACGTTTAAAAATTGATATAAATGAGGGAGGATATGAAGGACGAAGCTCCCCACGGGTTAGGTTAATTGCAATAACTCTAAGGGACGCTAATTTGTTTATAAAATCGTATAGTCTTTCTAGTTTTAATTTTTTAATTCAATTCTGATAACTAGGGTCCAGATTTTTATGATTAAAAAAGCCAAAATATTATGTTAACATTTTCTAGAAAAATCTAAACATATACTCTTATATTCTTTTTTCTTATTCTTCTTAACCTACACCAGGGATTTACAAATTTTTGTAAAGACTGGTTCACATCATAGGGTCGACCACCATTGTGTTAAATTTCCACTTGATCTAAATATTTACGGCGTTACCGATTTCATTATTTCAATTTTCTTTGATTTTGTTTTTCTCCCAAAAATTATATTACGAAATTCATATATAGCCTTTTTTCTGAAAGAAAATGTTGTCTACGTTAGTCGTGTACAAGGAGGTTAATTTTTAATTTTTTTTTTTTTTTGATTATTAATAAAAAATAAGGAAATTTCCCGGCAGGTGAGAGACTCAAGTTCGATTCGCGGTCCATCCACCTAATTTTTAGGATTATTTTCCGAACAGTCGCGTCACAAGTTTTTAGAGTTTTTTTTAACCTTCAGTTTGTCGAGTAATTGTAGCGATAATATTCAGACGGTCTTACAAGTGTTACGTGAGCAAACGATAATAATAACGTTATTAAACCACCCCGGTGTCCCATTAATCAACAACGGAGATAACGTAATATCATGACTGTAATTCGTCCAACAGATTAATTACCTACCAACCTGCCTATTTATCATAATAATATTAAAACTTCGAGTGTCCCGCATATTAAACGGGATCATAATATTATTATTATTATTATTATCATCTTAAATCTTCATCTTGTATTAGCTATACACGAGACACGTCACTTTGGTAAATAGGTACATAATATGATAGCTACTTGTATTTATCAAATTATGATAAAAAGATTCGTGGTGTAAAATAATAATATTATGTTTATCGCGTGTTCGATTTTATTTTTAATAATAATATATTATGTTTTACATTTCAACACTTGTGTTCCGAATCCGGACTGAAGTCAATTTTTCAAGTTTTTTTTTTTTAAGTTTACGTCAAAAAGATATTAATACTATTTCGGGTAAGTATACCATAAGTGGATTTTTAAAATATCAACTATTAGCTAAGTATCTGTGTTTAGATTGAATTAAAAAAAAAAAAAAAAAAAACTAAACCGATATATTTTAACAAACGGTTTTGCAATTAGTCATAATTGTTTTGATGTATAAAGAACGGATTAATTAACGAATTATTTATAAATATAATACATGTCCATAATTTTGTTTTTTTAATACTCTATCGACATTTCCGCCTGACATTTTACGGTGTTTAAATTTTTCGAGAATATAGGTACTACAATATTTACATAAAATATATTGCATACCTATTATATTATAATAGGGTTACAATAAAAAAAGAAAAATCAAATAAAGTTCTAATATTCGTTTTACGAAACGTTTATAATATTACACTAGTAGGTACCTATATATACATATATATAATAAATAATAATAATAGTATATTTGCAACTTGTGTATTATAATAGTAATAATAAAACGTTCATTACCAAAACAAATTATTACTATTTTTTTCTCTCTGCCTTTTAACGACACTGTTTTACATATTTATATGTTTTTTATTATTATTATTATTATTATTGTATAGGTATTGTAGCGGCGCTTTTTTCAAATTACAAATTATTATTCGAAATTATTAAACTCGTAACTCGTGCCCGGTGCCGGGTGTAGCGGCTGCGGGGTCGAAACACAGAAATTGGTATCGAAAAATCGAAGTATGCCAATTTTATATAATAATATATTGTATTCCGGCTATTTTTGTTTTTATTGCGAACGTTTTTTTTTTTTTTTCATTATTATTATTATTATTATTGAAATTAGTTTTGCTAAACAAACTAAAATTATTGACGAACATTAATAATTGTCGAACGACGGTAATATTATTATGTAAATTACGTAATATTGTATTAGAGGGGTTTAATTTGATTTTTTCCTTTTAAATTTTTTTTTTTTTTTTTGTTTCCCCCTCATTTACTCCCGTGAAATCAAAGTTTTTCGTACACCTTCTCGTTTCAGCTGTTTTGGCGCATTAATTAATTTATTAATTATCAATTATTTACAGCTTACGGCTATTTAGTAGGCCATAACGTCAGTTTCGATAGGTTTAGATAGGTAATAACATTCGAATTTCTTTATTAAGACCAAAATTTAAATAATTGCATTATTCGACACCGATCGATCGATATTCGCATATATATATACATATAAAGTACACCATCAACCGTTTTATTATCGACAATAATTCGTCGTGTACCTTGAAAAAAAAATTCAAACCGATAGTTTTAATCAAATTATCCATAATACAGGAACATATCGAGACCTAGCTGTAACGTATTTATAGAGGATGATTTGAGAGATATACCACTCACCTTCCTCCACCCGAATAATTTTTTTTTTTATTTAATCTAATTTTTCCTTATATATGGGTTTTGAGCTGATATATCCGGGGTTCTCATATCCTCCTAGAAGTTGTGCATTTCATAATATATTATCATACCTCGTTAAATTTTATTACCTTAGATTATTGTTATCGATGTTGATATACATGAGAGACGATCTATTATAAAACCTACTATAAAATCAGCTGTCGCCAACTAGACGTCACTGATCGTTCATTAGTTTGGGTTGCATATTTTACACGTGTATTAAGAACCAGTAGGTCAAAAAAAAAAAACCTTAAATATCACGGATAAAATTTCGTTGTTGAAAAAAGTGGAAAATAAATTACTGAAAAAAATTCTATTACAATTAGTAAATGTCAAGTTAGCTACACCCTCTCCCCTGCAACATCAAAATTACAGCCGACGGATCAAGAAGTAATAGAAAATCTGAAATTTCACTATCGACAAATGATTCTTAAAAAACTTTTTTCAAGCGTGAAAACTGTAAACCTGCTAAAAATGTCATTTGTATTTCGGAGCTTTCAAAAGTATGACAAAATAAAGTTTCGGAAATAACAATTAGAAATTGTTTCACAGAAGCAGGATTCTCAGATAAGCCGATTCAAGAAGAATGTGATTAACCCATAATATCGTGTAGTCTAATCAATTTAATAAAATAAAGTTTTCGCTGTGGAAAAAATTATTTCCATGACATAAAAAAAAATCCAAGTTTTTTTTGTTTTACCTTAAGCATACAAATGTTCAGTAAACCATTGGTCACGTTATAATAAATACATCAAATAACATTACAATATATGTATTCGAATATTATTTCACTTCAGGAGTGGTCAAACGGAGGAAGAGTAAGGAGGTATATCTCCTCTCCCCATTAGTTAATTTTTTTTGTTATCTTTATTATTATGAAAAAAAAAAAAAAAATGGAAATAATAATAATAGCTTTTAAAAATAATAATTTGACGGCCACTGTCTCGCTGATAATATTGTTCATTAAAATGTGATATAACTAATTTGATACTACAGATACTATTCGGACACATATACATGAATAGAAATAGAAAATGCCTTTAACTTTTATTACTTGAAAATATATCGCCACCGTGTCGTCGGCGGCATGATTGCCTATCTAGATATTATAATTTATTCATCGAGTTTTATTATAAACATAGGTACCCTTATACCCGCTAAAGTTTTGTCGAATCTGTATACTGCGGTTTAATAAGCATTTATAAAATTAATGTATACGTGACCCGTGGCATAAGTGGAATAACAACTGTATAACACGGAATTAAGCGCGTATACCTATGAGTTATAGATTTATTAATATAGGTTATAAACTGTAACCTATATTCGATTCCTCCTCCCTCCACCGTTATTCGCATAATATCGGTAAACAATTATAATACAATTGCTCTTGATTTCTATAGAAACAAAAAAAAAACGGTACGCATACCCAATAATATACCATATTATTATACTTAAATTTAGTACCAATACGTTAATAAAATACTAAATTTAAATACGCTTTTGACGATAAACTTTTAAATTTATACGGTTTTCACGTAGCTATATGATTATCGAATATATTATACAGGCGCCAAGGGAATAAAAAACGATTTAATATTTAGTAAAAAAAAAAATCTATATATATTTATAGATTTTTTCTTTTTTATATTTATTAAAGTACCTATAGGTATATGTAATGATAAAACTGCAGTATTGCAGATTGTATACAATAAAGCTCATTAAAAGCAAAAAAACAAAAAAGCTATTATGGAGACGGGTGCAGCCACTGTTTTAGATGGGAAGTCGGGTAGGTAGGATACATAAAGTTACTTAATTGATGTATGTACGCAAATATAAAACATCGCTAACGAAATACGACTCCAAGCGAAGTTCAGTAAAACATATTATAAAATACCGTAATTTTTATGATTTTTGTTAAACTTTGATATTAAAACGGTTGTGGAGAAAAAATGCATTAAACTTAATCTGATTTTTAGAACACTAACTATAACTTATAATGTAAGTTGTGCTAAATTTTCAAGCATTTCTAATGCAATATGAATAACAGATACTTATCAAATAAAAACACGAAAATATCAAATACTTATACATAGTTTAAAAAAAGTAAAAATGTTTTAAAAAATTACCTCATCAATAAAAGGCCAATATAAGTATTTTTGGAAAACAACAGGTCTCTAAAGTAACTTTTAACCGAATAATAACAAAAAACCCAAATACCGTAAACTTTGACGTACTTTCTACGTTTTATTTTTTCGTTTTTTTGTAATTATTAGAAAAACTATAAGGAAAATCAAATAACAATTTTTTAACCACAAACTAAACAAAATTTCCTTTCTAAAAATATGCCATTCTTGAAATTTAAACAAAGATTTCTGGTAGAAAAATCTTAAAAATTTTAAATAATGAAATCGTTCAACCGTAATTTGACAAAATCGTATATTTCGAATGTTTTTCCCAATTATCATGAAAACTACTTTGAATATGGAAAAATAATTTACTTTGATAATGGCTCAATATTAAAAGGAACAAAATTTATTTATTTTAGGCACTTACACTGAACAGTGATGTACCATGGAAAAACGAATAAATATTTTACCATATTCATATTTAATAATTTTAAATGTTTAGAATTTGTTTTATTTTCTATCAATAATCTCACTCTAAATTTTAAAAATATCGTCTTTTCCGAAAGAAAATAATGTTTTTTAAATTTTTAAAAAAAAAAAGTCGTTTTTCACTTTCCGTGTAAGTTTTTTAATAATTGAGAAAAACCTGGGAAAAACTGATAAAAAAAAAAAACGAATGCATTTACGGCAATAATGATTTCATAATTTTCGATTTTTTTTTGTTTTTTGTCGGAATTCGATAAAATCTATTCGTAAACCATAAATTGTGTAGACATGCTAAAATTGTTAAAAAATTATGGCGATTTTCGAACTATTTGTTAACATTTAACATTTAATAGATTTTTTATTTCATATTTTTATTTGGCTATAATTTCATATTTATATGTTTTTATTCGGACAGAATTATTTGACCAAATAGATTTTAGAATTTAACACAAGTTGTATTGTAGTTTTACTTATTAGTAAAAAAAAAAAAAGTTAGATTTAGTGTAATAGTTTTTTTTTTTTTTTATATATATAAACATTTCAATTTCAAATTTTGCCGAATTGTATCAAAGTTATGCAATATCAAGAACCCGTATAACCAAAATTCGTTTGGAGTCGTTTTTCTTACAATCATCGTTTCGTACAGATATAAATTAATCAACTGTACATATACTACCTTCTCATCTTCCCGCCTACAGCAATGGGACACTCATTCCCCGTAGTATAAGAGACTAGCATTAATGGTTTTAATTTTAAAAAAATCGTACAAAATTCTGAATGATATTAGAGAACCGTACTATTTATGATAGTAAATTAGAGCAATATGGCGAAGGGAATGCGTCTGACTTCAGTCTTACTTGCTTAATTTTCTACTGGGCGAACTTAATTGCTAATAATGAAATGTTATGCATATAGCACATAGTATTTTACAGTTATACATAGTATACATATAAACTGATCAAATTTAATTGAAGGGCTAAGGGTTGAAATATATTTTTTTATTAACGAATATGAATCTGAGTGTTTTATACGCTCTCGATGATCTATAATTCCTATTTTCTCTTGTTTAATATAAATAATACAATACGAATGAGAATTAACTATGTTGATCGACAATTCGATTAAAATTATCACGGATAAATTTACAATAAGTGAGAATAACACGGTTGGCAATACTATATTATAATAATGTCAACGAAAATAAATAGTACAGATTTGTCAAAAATACGTATAAGTGCATACTTAGAAAGTTTTTGTGCATATTCGTATCGTTTACTCTGCATATTCGCATTATATTTAGTACTTTTTTTTTCGATCACTACGGCAATGAGTAACACATATTATAAAACCTACGTGACATTTGCACTACCCTATAGTACTGATTTAAAAATTAAAATATAATATATAAGTGCATATCGTATTCCTGACGCCAGCATAATATGATGATAATAATAACCCGCGATGAAATCTATAATTGAAAACGAATTTCCGGGGGGAGGGAGTCCACATTTTGTTTACATAAATATTTCACAGCCCGTTTTTGCTTGTTAAATTTGCTAAAATATTTCTACTTTTTTATGTTTTCAAGGGGGGAGTTAACCTATCGCCTCTCTCCCCTGTGATCTTGGTCCCCTGGCGTTGTTCAGCTAAAACAAACACCGGTTAAGTACTTTAAGAGCTTCAAGTTGCCGATATTATTGTAGCAGGTATACTCACAGGCAACAGTCACCATAGTCATAATAAGCCATACTAGGCGTTGGTTATGTTGTTTAATAGATTTACTTAGGTATTCACGGTTCAAATTCGATAGTTCCGTAACAATGCTGATCGGATATTTTTTTGAAACTACTATACACAAAATATTATAATCCACGTGAATAAATGCGAATAATAAAGAAGTAATACAATTGTCTCTAGACATATTCTCTAGAGATACCTACATAAACATAATAGTCACGTTTTCGACGTTAGTGAACCCGGAAATGGAACATAGTTGGAAAATATAAACAACAAACAAATTTCAAAAAAAAAACCTTTAGATAAACAAGGGATAATCCTATATACTGCGACTGTAGTTGAATCTTAAATATTTTCTGTGCGCAATTTGCTTCTGCAAAATATTATTTAAGAAAAAAAATTAGTCCACAATTCAATCGTGTCTTCAGGTGCAATATACCGGACAACGGTATTTTTAAACGAAACCCCGTACTACACGATATGGTAACCTATTTCAAATACCCTGAAAATATCATATCAAAAGCTACTGGCTAATATACAGTCGGAGTCTTAAAAATCAGTGAAATAAATTGGTCGGGAAACGACATCAAAAGAACTATAAACAATTAGACAGTCAACTTAACGGAGACCGAACATATAAGAGACCCAAAAGTGAACGAGAGTGTTGGGTATTTCTTACTAGAAGTCGGAAACGCGAAAAAAAGGTGCAAATAAGTGACAGTAGCAGAATATTTTCGTGGTATCGGACTGTAAAGACCTGTAATTAACTGAAGTAACAACACGCCCGGGCATTGTTCAGTTTTATACCGAAGAAAGCCGGATTTTTTTTTTTTTGTTACATTTAAAATTTGGCAGACATTTTACGATATTTTCATATTTGTACACTTTGATGTTACCTAGGTTAACGCGTCGGCCACGTAAAGCAGCGTCGTACAATTACAAAGCAAAAGATATACAGAAATCATATTATCGAAACATTTCGAATTACTGAACCGCATTTAAATAATCTATAAACTATTCGAAATATGTGGAAAAAACAAAGGAACGAATGTCGCTCAAATGTTAACGTCGACTGCGAGAACTTTATCGAACTACCGCTATAAGTGTTGTCCGTATTCTCGAGAAAATTTAATTGGAACTATAATATTATCATATCCGAAACGAGAACAACCGAGAAAGCGTATAACAATATTCTATATTTTACGACTGAAATGTAAAACGACGGGAAACTCGAAAATCAGTACGGCGATCCTTTGTAAAGCGTACCGTTATAATAGTATTATCAGTGTGTTCATAAACGATATCGGTAATAAATTGTTTGTGTTTTTCGCGCGTATCGGAATCGAAATTTTAATCGGGACTATTACAGTCGGAGTAACGTCACAAAGATAACGAACGCGTTATTTTGCAAAGGGTCTACGGAGAAAAAAAAACACTAGAGAACTTTGAAATTGCTAAGAGCAATATCATCGTGAAAAAAAAACCACCGCACACTAATTTTATAATAATAAAACAATAATTATTAGAACAAAGGGATCGATAATGTCGCTCGCCCGTCGTCCGTTCCATAATAATAATAATAATAATAATGTGTTCGTAGTCTCGTAGGCATGTTTAGAACCCCCTCCTCTCCCATACTCCCCCCCACCCCCGGACCGACGCTCGTTATCGCCCGCTGATCGAAACATAATTGCTACGTCAATAATTGTAGTCCCGTACAGACACGCGTCTCTAATTATAACGCCCAATAAGTATTTTATAGTAGTTTAGATTTTCGGACGAATAACCGGGAAAAAAATCGCAGAACAATTAATGATGCCTGTATACGCGAAAATGCAATTTTACACTCGTATACAACAATATTACCTATTACTCCGCCCCGAGACGAAACCGATTTCTAGTATATTTTTATTCGTCTCTACTCTGTCCGTTTTGCGGTTTGCGTCGGTAAATATGGCTCTCAAACGCGTTTATACGCGGTTTGGTTTTGACCAATTATCATTTCCGTCCGTTCTTTCGATTCTGACAAACGCAATACCTACATACATTATACATTATCGATTCCGCGTTTCATCCGGTTCTGTGTGCGATACCGTCGTGTATGGTTATAAAACAGCGAACTTTGCGAACATTTTCGTTATAGAAACGCAAAACGCAAAAACAATTAATATTGTTGAGTGCTTATCGCGATACGGCTACACCTGGGTAGGAAACTTGGTGGCAGGTCGTGTCAGATTTACACGATTCGGAAGGGGGGGAGGGGGGGAGGGGTGGGGTGGGTTGGGGAACAAACCAAAACTCCAAAGTTAGTTTTCGTACTTTATTACAGAGGAATGGAGAAAGGAGAAGAAAAACCCAGAGACAAGAGAGAAAATGGAAACTTTTCCGATATTTTTATTTTTTCGTCATTTTGCGAATCGTATTTTTCGTAACAAACGTACGGATACTGGCGACTTGGGACGGCTCTTTTTTTCGAATCTTATACAAATCGGATGTCTGACTTTTTATCAGTGATAAAACTATTATTTTGGCATGTCGGCGTATCGGACGAATACAATAATAATGCACTTTTCAATGGCTAATTCCCGTTTGAAAACACGTAATTTCAGTACGAACTCATAATGAGATATCGTTACAATACCATAGTTGCATTCGAGCGCTCGAATAAAACCGGTTAGTTCGCCGTGCAGCAACACCAAAATATTTACTTACCTGTAGACACTAGAAAGCTGTCTGTCAATTTTTCCCTGGGAAATTGTTTTTTTTTAAAAAATTATTTTACGATCATACGACACGCATCGCGTCCGGGACGGCGGCTCGCGGGTACGCGGGACCGGGTGGCAGGCGGCGCGATACTATGCGGCGGGTACGCGCGCTGCACCTCGGCCGGGAAACGCGCCGTATCGGTACGCGTGACGGTAATATTATCGCGCGTAATGTACAATATTAAACTATTATGCTTACCAATCGAATAGACGGAACCGTTGAGCCGGTACACGACGTTCGGTTTGAAGTGCAACAAGTCGCAGTCGTCCGGGCTTACCACGACGGCGGGGGCAGCAGCGGCCGCGGGGACAGCAGCGGCCGCGGGGACAGCAGCGGCCGCGGGGGCAGCAGCGGCCGCGGGTGTCCGGTCCGGTACGTCGTTGTCCTTGCCGGCGTCCGGAGCGTCGACGGCTCTGGCCACGGGCCGTCGGTCTTTACCTTCCATAACGATGACCGTAACGCGGTGTCTACGCCTTACAGGCACAAAGTCTTCGCGCGTAACGCGAAAAGACCGCCTCTAGTCTCCTGGTTGCTCGTACGGGTGTATATATAACTGGGAAAAATCGAGTGATGGTTCGGTGTTCCGTTGAGTATACGCAACAGCTGTAATGTACTAGGTTTTTGTCGCGGGAAACGCGACAATAGGCTAGCGGGTGTACCGTCGAGCGACTCGGGTGGCGACTCGGCACGGAGACGTTTTACGTGTAAAATCGTATACGTGACGTAGACACACGGCGACGCGCGACTGTCTGGCAACGAATCCACGTGAGGAGTGGCTGCGCGACGACAAAAGGCGTCGGCGGCGGTGGCGGCGGCGGCGTCTCGTCGAGGCGCGTATGCGCGAAAAGTGCCTGTTCCGGCCGAGTCGCGCGCGCGATTCGCGATCGTCGTCGTCGGAAGAGGTGATGGTGGCGGTGGTGGTGGTGGCAGTGGTGGTGGTGGTGATGGTGGCGGCGGCAAATACATTTCGAATATGCCTGTTTACTATTTTAATTGTTAGACAGCCTCTCTAGCCATCCACGGGCGTGCATTAGGGGTGACATTCCTCCCATCTCTCAACTCCCCGGAAAATAATATTGGGTCGCGCAATATCTATAATATTACTCGCGTGCCGAAAGAAACGTCGAGACGAAACGCTAATAAATCGTATACTCGTAGGTGATAAAAATGAGCGTTTACGGTCGGCATTCGCTGATTGGGCCCCGTCACTCGATAACCGATTTGAAAATGCCGCGATGGCGAACGTGGCCAAGTAGGTGTCTGCGGTTCGGGAACGTCGGCTGGTGTTTTACAAAATGACGACGAGTAATGGAAATCGAATCGTGCACGGTCCATTGCACGGTTTCTCGTTAACCGTTCTGCCCTGAAATATCGGTAATATTATTATGTCCATAAACGAATAATTTTATTTTAATATGATATTATATCGTGCAATATTTTTGTAATTTCTACGAAATAATCTTGCCCATATTGCGTTTCGTTAACGATGGTTTATCGTTGCGTACAGTATTTAAACGCATTATTTAAATTCGTAAAGCTCCGGGTCGGGGAGTCCTGAAAACGATTATTATCCGGCGACTCCTCGTTGCAGCGAGATAAAAGAACCAATGCCGATAAATGATTCTGAGTAAACTTAGCCGTTGCCCGGGGTGTACTACGTGGAACGCGCCACGGATTTGAATAAAATAACTGTATGTGTATTCTTCCTACCCAAATGTTCTCCTACACAACGCCGGCACACCCATTCGGTAGTATCGAATCTGTATTTTTGCATACAGAATTATCCCGAATACTCTCTCGAGTGTCCCCGCGTCGCCAGTTTTCATTTTTTTTTTTTTTTGTCGGAGATGAAAGATAATTGGTAAGAAAGGGCTTCAATGTATTTAGATACACCACGATTGTGATGAACTTTTTAACGAGGGGTTTTTTTTTTTTTTTTTTTTTTTTTTTTCATAAGATCTTCCAAATACTCCTTCTTATCCATTGTAATCAAATTATTCAAAATATTGGATTGTGCATATTATACGAGAAAAATGTTACCACAAATAGCTGGTATAAAATAGGGTTTTATTAAAAACTGCGCACGGGAAAAGCTGGATGATACAGCTAGTTTAATGTAAATATAATTTGCATTTGCATTACTTCCATTAAAAAACAATTTTATTTAAAAATTATTTTTATACATTATTCAATTAGTTGTATATATTGATATTTATAGTATGATGACAAGTGACTAAAAGAAAAGAAAAACCGTGTAATATCGAATAAAACGTCAAAACATAATATAATTATTACTTCTCCATTCTTGGATTTGTGTATCTAACTAACATTTTTTTAACTACAAGCAATCAAATGAATTTACCAAATTACAAAAGTATTAAAACTGTCAAACAAGTGAGCATTTTCAAATCATTAAAACTTATTTATATTGTATATTATATTATATTTTTTTCATTTATGACTGCATTTTATGTACGCTTTTTTGTTGGTACACACCTGTAGGGTTTTAATGTTTGTATTTGTGTACTTTTTGTTTTATTAAATTATTCTTGAGTATTGCTAACTAATAACTATAATATTGATTTATACATTGGGAGAAATATATCTGGGGAGTGGGGTGGTAAAGCCCCATATTTTTCGTGCTTATAGATTTACTACAGCCACCCCCTCCCAATAATTTACCCCAGATAATTGCATAATTTCTGCAGAATACGCCTATAACTGGGAACTACAATTCATCCGTGAAGTAGTTGATCGGAATCAGAAATAAACATCAAAATTAGAACGCACTAGTAGCGTTTTCGATTTTACAAAGGAGTGCTTACTGAGGGTTACACTGAAACTATACGAGTTTTCCACTGACAATGCACCAGTGTTTTAAATTTAAATATGAATTATTTGATTTTATTGGTCAAATAAAAAATTTAAATTATTTACTGGCGTATTAATTTAAATTACTGGTGTCCGATAGACGCATTTATAAGGAATAGATAATTCACATAATCGGTTTGATATTTTTTTTTTTGTCATGACTTTTGACGAAACATTTAAAACAATAATGTATGCCAATACCTACCTTACTCAGTTGAAATTCTGAATATATTTTATTTCATTTTAATAATTTAAATAGTAAACAACAATTTGACTCAAGTACTTTTTTATAATTTGGTAAAATCAAAACAATAATTTTTAATGTTGTGCGTCCAGCCCAGTAGATAACATGAACCAAATTCATTTTAGGTATTCTAATTTAGCAAATAGTACCCTTGTTTCTTACATTATAAGCATTATACGAGCATTAGTTCCAATTAATATATTACATTAGTTATTACCTATATCAGAGCATGATATTACGCTAAAAGTCTGTGCTAGGGATGTCTAGCCAGGTGCAACTTGCATTGAGTGTAGTTCAAATAGTAAGTTTATCAAAAGAAAATCTTAATTGGATAATTTTAGGTTTCCTTTTAACTAAAGAGTCTTGAACTTAATTTCAAAGAGTCAATCATAATGTGGAGGCTGGTAAATTTACAATGTATACTTATTTATAAATTAATATGATTTGTCTTCAAAAATGATACTTAACTACTAGATACCTCGTAGCTTAATCAGGTAGCCTAGAAAAGTAGCTTGTACTTAAATATAGGATCGGCATTAAATATTAAGTTTTTAAGTCAAAATAGTTAAGTAATTAAGTTAAACTATTAAATGATAAAATAATACATTTAAATTAGTTACATGCGTACATGTTTTAAACGGTATTATATAGATTCGTTCGAAATGCTATATTTTGTTTGAAACAATTCATAATTTACAATATGATGCAATTATTATTATCAGAATATATAACCGTAATGATAAATTGGAAATCGGATGATACTGTGTTCCATTATTGAAAAAAGCATATTAAATATTACACTCAAAATATTCACGGTTCTGTTCGTGCGTACTGAGTACACATGACTACACGAGTGTTGTCGGAGCAATTAGATAGAATACAAAATACATTACTAGTTTACGGAATGTTTGTCGAATCGAATATGTTTTGCACGCCGTGCACACTGAGTACAAAAAGTACGTCAAATCAAAAACGCTATACGTATTTTTCGAAACTATATTCACAATATTAGTTTGAGCAACATTGACAAAACGACTGTTTTCATGATGTTTGTTTGTTGTTTATTTTTTTATTTTTAAATCACCGATCTGTCAAGTTAAATATTACATTCATATACTTGTAGGCAGGGATCAAGATAGTTAAATGCAGGGCCTAAAATACGTCTGATTTTAGAGGACACACTTCTTAATTCAATTGTAACTTTTGACAGGTTTCTATAACAAAAATAAAAAACCTGTGGAGGTAGTAACAGCCGAAATTATTCTCTCCTTTTATACACCGCTTACCTTACACATTTATATTATTTACATGACGTTTGGACAAAAAATATACAAAATAAATAAAAATAAAAGTTCAAAATATTTTACTTATAGTTACACAAACACACTAGTGACGATTTTGATAAAACATCAAGGGGAAGGGGGTAATTTTAAACCTATCGGACTCCATATCATATTGACATATATCAAATAAAGGATAAAATTTGTTTATAATCTTATCATAAATTACACATAACTTTTATTTTAGATTCTGAGTGGAGCAACAAAGCTTTTACAACTGTTTTATCTGTGGACAACTTTTCTACCAGAGATCTAGCTCCGATGTATACAATATAGCAACTTTTCTAAAAGGAAATTTTGTCAGAGATGTACTTTAAGGAAGTCATTTTTCGATTTTCTTCGAACTTTTCAATAAATGTGAAAAACCGAAAACAAACGGGAAAATGTACGAAATATATAAGTAAAATATTACGATTTTTTTTTTTCTGTGAACAACTTTTTTACCAGCAATTTTTCGATTTTCCCAAGAGTTTTCCCAACAAATGTGAAAAACCGGGAAAAAACATTGGAAAATCGAAAGAAAAACGGAAAAATCAGTACAATATAACAAATATTATTAAAGAAGCATCACTATCAAGTAAACTCTGCTCAGAGTCGTCTTTTCGTAAGCAATAGTTTATCGTTCTTTATGTTCGGAACATACCTAACAGTTAACAAAAAAAAAAGATCCAGGGGATAGTATATATTTTTAGACACAAGGTATATTCGTTCCTATATTCACGATTAAAGTTAGTACATCTTGGTTGTATAATATTTATAATCGTCGACCGTAGTTAAAGTTTATAATATATTTGTATATATTTGTATATATTGATGACAAGGAAGTTGTTACCAATTCATATTGGGAATCGATATAAACAAGATTGATTTGTGTTGAAATTCCAAATTGTTTGTTATTTCTGCATTTAAAACTAAAAACATGTTATAAAACTTAGGACACACATTTATAATTCAGTGGACACATAATGATTTTCAGGGGACACAGTATTTTAGACCTTGGTTAAATTTTATACGCCACACAGACATACGATGTTCAGTACACGAAATTCCGCTTATCCGTCTGGCATAATAATATGCATACACCCGAGTAAAATATATTAATTATATTATTCCGCCTTATATCATATTATTTGATACCCGATAAAAAAATTGTAATGTTAATAATTATAATTTAATTATGCGTGCTGCGTGTTGCAGAGGCTCCGTAGGTATATGCGAAGACTAATATACTATTCACATGTAATATCCCTTCGCTGTTCGTCGACTTTGCTTTATACACATCCGG